GCCCTTCCACCAGGGTCCCATACCATGGTATGGCTCTCTGTCTTTTGTTTGTTTACTATCCGTGAACGAGATGAGAATCTAACAAAAAGTATTAACATATTAACATATCATTATCAACATATTTTAAGATTAAAGTAGCAACTTTTTTTTATTTGGTGGTCTGGAAATCCATAATTTCAAGAAAAAATTGGCTAACATTTTCTCTTAGAAGAATTAAAAAGCTGCAARAATTAAAAAGATGATAGAAAGAATAAAAAAGTGAACTAACAAAGAGAAATAAAGGTACTACTCATTAAGTAAATTGCGACGCTTTCTTTCATTTGTACGAACGGTGTTTTTTTTCTTAGAAATGTTTCGATTCTCAATAGGACGTTTGCATGATGGCGYCATTTGACTTCGACGTCCACCAAAATGCTACCAAAATGAATTTTAAAACTTATATTCCCTCTTGAGAATAGTAAGCTAGACAATTGCCCTATTTCACTATGACGTCACATTAAAGCAATCTATTGTTTAAACGCAAAGTATCATGGTCGTCGGAGGGAGCAAATTCACCGAAAATTGTTCTAAAACCCGTATCAATTCACGAAGAGAAGTAGAATAGCCAGTAAACGCTCAGAATATTTTTTAGTACATATTAACACATATTGTATCTGAAAACCAGGCCATTTTAGATTAAACTGTTTCGCTAGGAGCAAATTTTGTTGAATTTTCTATTGGATTTGGCGATCCTATCCCCACATAAACAAGCAGTAACGTCATAGTGAAATAGGGCAATTGGTGCTAATTAACTGAACAAAAGAAAGTGTGCAAGGGAGTCTGGTAGTAGGGGTCAATGACGCCATCATGCATTAGCCCTGTTGTCAAAAGCGTCTACGTACAGGGTATTCTATGGTACTAATGAACCCCCTCTTTCCCACTGGGTAGTTTCTTTACAACGTGTATTTGTTTTCTGWTGTTTAATGGTGTGACCCTTGCGTTGCATAATCATAGTTAATAAAGGAGAATGGTTAGGAAACCTATTGTTATAGGTCTTTGTTCGCTTTTGATGTTGAACTGGTCTTGACCGTGCACAATGTTTGATTTATGCTCATCCGAAATTGCAAAATAAGTAAACATAAACTTTGTCTATGGGATAATTGTAAGGAATATTCAAATATCAAGATT